AATCTGTGGGTGCCCAGCCTTTTGGCTTGCCCGGGCTGCCCCCACAGAAGAGGGGCTGCCTCGGTTTCCCACAAACCAAGGTGTCACTCGGGCTTGATGGCCATCTCAGCAGCTCTCAGGGAGCTCTCGAGGTGCTGCTCAGAGAGTTTAGATCAAGTTTTACTCCTGCTGTGCTTCACCCTTGAGAGCAGCTGCTCACGCATGCACGTCCTGCCAAGCAGCCATGGCGTGAGTGAGGCGTGATGTGGAGCGGGGGATGTTTTTCTCCGGTACAAGAGACCTGATCAAGTTTTTGAGTAGAACACCTGACTGCAGCTCCATGCGCTCTGCTCACAGGTATTGCATTTCTGTCGACTGGGCACTGAGAACCAGAGACAGGCTGTAGGTACCACCTTCCAGGGTGGACACAGAAAGGGAGGGCGGGCACTGTGACGACCAGAGGGCTGAAGCACCTCTCCCATGAAGAAAGGCTGAAGGAACAGAGCTTGTTTAGCTTGGAGAAGGATCCAGGGAGACTTTATTGTGGCTTTCCAGTACTCGAAGGGAGCGTACAAACAGGAGGGAGAATGGCTGTTTATGGGGTGGATAGTGACAGGACAAGGAGTGGTTTTCAACTGACACAGGGGAGGTTTAGCTTGGATCTGAGGAGGAAGTTTGTCACACAGCGGGAGGTGAGGCACTGGAACAGGCTGCCCAAGCAGGCTGTGGATGCCCCATCCCTGGAGGCATTCAAGGCCAGGCTGGACGTGGCTCTGGCAGCCTGGTCTGCTGGTTGGCGACCCTGCACACAGCAGGGGGTTGAAAGCAGATGATCACTGTGGGCCTTTCCAACCCAGGCCATTCTATGATTCTTCAGCAAGAGATGGCTTGAGAAGGTGGATGCTAGTGCAGACATGGGGGCAGACCCCCCTTGTGGGACAGTGGGAACCAGCAGCTCCAAAAACAGGAATGGAGTGCGACTGGAGGGGCACTGCTGGACGAGGGCAGCACCCTGGTGGTACAGGACATGCTTTAGGTGGAAAGACTTCACCAGCACGGGCGGCCTTGAGAGAGCTGTGCCCAGTCTCGGGTGCCCAGCACATGGGAGTGGGAGAGCCCACGGAGGAGCACGGGGCTGAGCAAAGGGAGGCATGGCAGAAGAACACAGGGGACCCTGCTGACCCGGGCCTCCCTGTGGGCACGCCAGCTGCTATCCCTAGGGCAGCTGCGAGCACATGGGCCTCTGTGGGCCCACAGCCACAGCCAGGCCTTTGTGATGGCTGGGCGGCACCACGCCCAGAGGCCATTGTGATGTGGACGGGTAACCGCAGCTCCTGGCAGGGCCAGAGCCCTCGGGTGCTCACTCCGAGGAGAGCAGCTCTGTCAGGAGGCAGCAGCTCGACTTGGTGCTTTTCTCTGGTCTCCGGACATGGAGATGCCGAAGGAAGAGGAGCCTAAGGCTCACTCTCAGCCCAACCAAGGGCTGCCGAGCGGACAGGAGCAAGATGAGGTGAGGCTCAGGGAGTGAGGGAGAGACCAGCAGCGTGACGGGATGGTGTGGAGAGCAGCAGGAGGAGGGACGTGGTGCTGGGGAGAGCCGGCCAGCTGGCCCTGAGCACCTTACAGCCTGAGCACTGCGCTTCCTGACACCTGGGAGCATCTCCACACAGAGCCAACGATGCCTGGGAAGGCCAAGGCCCACGTGGCCCTGGAAGCTTGGAGACGAGGGGCAGAGAGCAGCTTGGCCACGCTCAGCTCTGCCATCCATGGGGCACGCAAAGCCCAGGCCCAGGCCCAGTGGGCCCAGTGGGCCCGGTGGCACAGCGGGTGCTGTCGGGCCAGTGTGGGCGCTCAATCCCTCTCCTTCTGTTCCCCGCAGGTGATCCGCAGGCCACCTCACACAATGACAGCGGGCAGCCAGAGCCCAGAATCCTCCCTCCGAGAGGACAGGCTGCCGCCGCTGCCGGCTCCACACGGCAGCCACCAGGCACAGGTAGGGAGACCCAGGGAGACCAGGTGGAGCGGCTGTCGCAGCCCTGCCAGCCGCTGACAAGCAGGCAGCTGGCAAACAGCAGGACTTGCTAGAGGAAACAGCCAGGCCGTCTCCATGTCAGACTGAGCCAGGAGAGAGAGGAGCTGCTCTCTTCCCAGACAGCTCTGGGATGGCAGCGGCCCATGCAGCTGCGCCACCAGGACAGGTTGCACGAGCAGTTGCAGCAGGGCCATGGAAGGCAACACACGGAAGAGCCCAAAGTAACTCGGCCTTTCTCCTTGCCTTCTCTTGCAGGCAAACGATGCGGAAGGCAATGAGACGCTGTCCCGCGGAAGCGTCTTGCAGGGAGACACGGCCAGCGTGCCCACCTTGCCACCTCCGCCAGAGCAGGCAGTGGCTCAGGCAGCCGCAGCACAGCACGTGCCCGCAGCTGAGGCACCAACATCTGCCAGCGGCACCCGCGAGCTGCCTGATCTGCCAGCAGCAGCCTCTCTCTCTAGCTGCAGCGGAAGGGAAAAGGTCATCGTGCCTGAAGCCCCTGGCCATCAGGAGCTTTGCACAACTGCTCTGGACAGCCTCGGCAAACAGGACGAAGCAGCAGGATCGGACAAACAGAAAACTGCTCCACCGAGCCCAGCCGTCCCTGGCGCAGCAGTGGAGAACACTGTGCAATCCCCCGTGCCACAAGTCCCAACAGAAACTGTGGCTGTACGCATCACACAGCAGGACCTGACACAAGCTCAGCAAGCAGCGGGAGCAGCAAAAGCAGACGAGGCCCAGAAGGCCGCACACAGATTTGGGCCTGATCCCGAAGAGCTTACAGCAGCAATGGCTGCCCACAGAGAAGCTGCACGTGCTTTCTCACGCTGGGGCTACAAGTCAGGGCACCATGGAGGGCCAAGGGCCTATCGGTACCCAGCCGCCATGAAGCCGTGCATCCGGTGCCAAGAGATGGGCGCTAGGCTGTGGCTGCACCATGAGACTCGAAAGCCATGTCGAAAGATCCTGTCAGAGGACACACAGCTTCTGACAAAGATGGCTAAAAGTTGTGCGGCCTGTACCGGGCACAGCCTAGACGAATACTGGGAAATAACAAGGCAGGCGAGGAACACCAGGAAGCAGAGAGCAAGGCAGAAACTCCCGTGTGTTCCAGAGCACGAGCCACAGGGCACGGCAAAGGAGGATGAGCTGGAAGAAGCTGATGATGAAGAGCCAAAGATCATAAGCCACTGGGTCAACCCCAGGATCGCAGCCTTCATCCGGGACCCGCAGGCTTCTCCTCAGCAAACGCCCGGCTCTTCCAGCATCACGGACACAGAGGTTTCGGGAGAGTCAGATGGCCAGGCACAGAGCACGGCTCTTCCTGCCTCAAGGCACGCAGATGCCAAGGCTGGAGGTGATACGCACGATGGCCACGGGATGCCAGCATCCACACCAACAGCGGAAGAGGAGAACGCTCCAGCTTCATCTCTCCTGAGCGAACAGAGCCCAGCGGCGAGGGATGAGAGCCAGAGGCCGTGTCTGCATGAGCCAACAGCCTGTGCCATTCCTCTGCAGGACACAGCCCAGGCCATGGTGAGTCCAGGCGTCGGGAAGTGCTGGAGGAGACAGGTGGGCCGACCCCCTGTCAGACTGAGCCGCACCGAGCGTGGTCAGCTGTCGGGGCACGGCGGGGGCTGCTGCAGGGAGCCCCCAGGCCCAGCAGGTGCCACATGAGGAGCTGCTCTCTTCCCAGCCAGCTCTGTGGAGCAGGGTGGCAGCGGCCCATGCGGCTGCGCCACCAGGACAGGTTGCAGGAGCATTTGCAGCAGAGCCATGGAGGGCAACACAGGGAAATGTCCCAACTCACTTCTTTCTTCTTGCCTTCTCTTGCAGGCGAACAAGCTGGAAGAGAATGAGACGCTGCCCGGCAATGGGGTCCTGCAGGGAGACACGGCCAGCGTGCCCACCTTGCCACCAGAGCAGGCAGTGGCTCAGGCAGCCACAGCACAGCACGTGCCCGCAGCTGAGGCACCAACATCTGCCAGCGGCACCCGCGAGCTGCCTGATCTGCCAGCAGCAGCCTCTGTCTCTAGCGGCAGAGGAACGGAAGAGGTCTTTGTGCCTGAAGCCCCTGGCCAACAAGAATCTCTCCCGTCTTCTGGCGCGAGTCGCGGTGAGCGCCGGCCACGGCGCAATCTGCTCAGGAGGGCGCTTGGGCGGCTGCTCAGGGTTTGCTGCTGCTGCTGCATCACAAGGCAGGAAGAGTAGCGCTGTCGGGCCACCAGTACCAGGCGGCTTCTCAGAGCTGATCTCGCCCAGGCATGCCGAGACTGCGACGCTGGCTCCAAGATGAGACCAAGACCTTGGCCTGAGACAACAGCCCATCTTGCTAGAGGACACAATCCTCTCCACCCATGGCAGGTCGATTTAACTGGGCCCCTCCCTCCGCCTGAGGGGGTGAGATATGCCCTCATCTGCGTCAGTCAGGTCCCTTCCAACCCAAGCCATTCTGTAATCCTACCTGATTCTACAACTGTGCTTTACAACTTCTCTGGTTTTCAGACCTTCAATCAGATTGTAGCTCTTGCTTGATAATAAATCCACCAACATTTAACACCCCAGAAAGACGTTTGAATTCTCTCGCCAACTCCTTATCTCACGAATTCACAAGACCTGGGCATAAGAACTCATAGGAACATAAAAAAGCAGAAGGCTCTTTCCCAGCTCTGAATAAGGGATCCAAATTGCCTAACTACATTCTACACAGACCAGAGGGCACTCACACCCCATGTCGTGGTTGCCCCCATCAGCTGTGCTAGCTCCACTCCTGCAGATTTCCAGCTTTCCTCCAGCCAAAATCCCAAGCAAGCCCCAAGTGCCACGCTTGCTCCCACAGCTGGCTCTGCCTGGACAAGGAACCTTGGGCTCCCAAGACGACGGCCGTTTTTATCTTGCAGACACGCAGACTTTGCAGTGAGTTAGAATTTGCAAGGGTAAGCATAGACCCGTGAAAACATGGGACAGCAAGCAATGCATACATCTGGCAATTACATTTTGGCTACTGCTGACTTCTGTTCTTCACAACTGAAGCACCTGAAAAGACAGAGCCGTGGGGGTGACCGTGATTGCTCGGCTGATTGCCTCTGTGGCCAGGATGTTTCTTTCTCATCCGGTACCTCTGGGCAGAGACTTTGAATGCTGTCATTATTCCATGCCTGCAAGACGTGGTTGAAGTTAAGGCATGGATCTGAAAGCCACCCCAGAACTTCTGGGTCGGTAATGCTGTTGGATTGCTTGTAAACATTCTGCTGTGAGGGTTTTTGTTTGTTTGTTTTTGAGTATTCTGGTGTGATCTAAAGCTCAATACAGGCCGGTGGCTACCAAAGCTGGATCAGTGGGAGAGCTTGGGCCTGGCGCCCCTATTTGCTCAGACAGCCACTGCTATGCGAGCAGCTCCGTGGTGTGCTCTAACCCCTCACTCAATACAGCGACCAGAGCCTGAAGCCTAACCGATGGCAGGTTTATTCATCTGCTTTGTGAAGGGGTTTGACCAAGTTCTTGACCAAGTCTTGCCAGCACTTGAAGTTTGATCCCACCCACGCCCTGCTAGTCAAACTGCTCAAGAGCTTTTCTTCAACAGCATTTACTGCACCAAAAGCTGGCTGTCCTGACACATTCTCTGGGGAGGATTCTCCTTAGATATCCCCCTTCAGCCAGCTGTTGCTGGCCACCTGCTCCACGCTGGGCCGGGAGGATGGTAAGAACTGCAGCAGCTGGACAAGAAGGGCCTGGCAGGGCTCCGGCAGCGCGGACACCCCCCTCAGGTGCTGGACCCCATCCTTCTGATGCTGGATGGTGTTGCAGAGGCAGCCGTGGAAGGGCAAGCTGCCAGTCACCATGGCAAGAAGGACCACCCCCAGGCTCCAGATGTCCAACTTCTTGGCATCGTGGGGGTAATGCAGCCACATCTCCGGGGCCACGTAGGCTTCTGTTCCGCAGAAGGTGCTGCTCAGTTCTGGGTAGCTGCTCATTTCCCTGCTGAGGCTAAAGCCAGCAATCTTGGCCTGGCGGCCATCAGCACTGAGCAGTATGTTCTCACACTTGAGGTCACGATGCACGATGTTGCGGTCGTGGAGGCAGTGCACGGCCCCCACCACCTGCACAAAGATGTCCCGGGCGTCGGGGACGCAGGGCAGCTTGCCCAGCTGCTGCAGCCGCTGCTGCAGGTCGAAGGCTGCCGACTCCATCACGATGTAGACCATGCCGTCGGTCAGCTCAAAGATCTCAAAGATGAGCACGATGTTGGGATGATCCAGCTCGCGCAGGATGGAGAGCTCCCGGGGCAGAAACTTCTCCACACATTCTGGAGAGGCCCTTCGCTTGTCCACCGTCTTGATAGCTAGGGGGACCGTGTACTTGGGGGAGGTGGCCGCCCTCACCGTGGAGAACGCACCCTCTCCTAAGGTCTCCGCCAGCGTGAAGCCCAGCTTGTGGAGTAGCTTCTTGTCTTTGTCAGTGTTTGGCATCTTAGCTGGTCCGGATAGGACGAAAGCGTGCCTGCAGTCGACCTTCACAAACCTGCAGTGGTTCCACAGGTGCCCTGTGGGGCTGAGGGTCCACCCAGGCACTGCGACAAAGTGTGACAGTGCCTCACTATGACTGTGATGTCAGCGTGGTCCGACGGGTCTGCGCTGCTCCTGGGTGTCCCAGCTTGTCATGCATACGCACTGGGAGAACTTCCAGCACTGAATATATATACATATATATATTTACCTGTTTCTGCTCTTGAGTTGTCAGAACAGGGACTGTCTGATGATAAGAGTTTAAATGTGACTGTTCTGGAGCAAATAATCACTTTGGAGACCCAGAGCTATTTTCTGGAGGGTATTAAAATCAGGTATTAAAATCAGAACTACGCAAAATGGCACCAGAGAGTGATTTGTACCACCTCTAATTACAGGACACCTCGGCTGGGTGTCAAGATTTACTTTTTGATTATGACAGTGCAGGAAATGGTTTCTCAAGGTGGGCTTTCCAGCTTGGGGCGGTGCGGATGGGGAGCCTGCTCTTTCAGCAGAAACAGCTTTGTGAACTTCTTTGAGTTGCGCTCCCGTGATTTTAACCAAAAATGATAACGATGCAAACAGAGAGGCATTCCCTTGTTGTAAGCTGGGGGTCACCAGGAGTGGATTCAGAAGGAAGGAGCAGGAGGCAGAGAGCAGGAGGGGAGAGGAGACGCGGGCAGTGCCTGAGGGCTGTGCAGTCGGGCAGCAGCAGTGACTTGCTTGAGAGTGGCCTCTCTGCTCCGCTTCTGCTCACAAAACACACCAGAACCTTGATGAGGCTGCGTTTGCTAGGACTTTCCTGTGCTTCTACCCAGCTGCTGAAGAAGACGTCCTCTGCCTGCTTTTGGCACAAATGCTCTGCTGCTAATGGCAGAGGCAATTTCCAGGTCTGCATGGGAGCTAAACTACACGCCGACGGTTGCCAGGAACTCCACTATTTATGGGTGTGTATTTCCTCCGTGAGAAGACTGCAGCTAATCTGTGGGTGCCCAGCCTTTTGGCTTGCCCGGGCTGCCCCCACAGAAGAGGGGCTGCCTCGGTTTCCCACAAACCAAGGTGTCACTCGGGCTTGATGGCCATCTCAGCAGCTCTCAGGGAGCTCTCGAGGTGCTGCTCAGAGAGTTTAGATCAAGTTTTACTCCTGCTGTGCTTCACCCTTGAGAGCAGCTGCTCACGCATGCACGTCCTGCCAAGCAGCCATGGCGTGAGTGAGGCGTGATGTGGAGCGGGGGATGTTTTTCTCCGGTACAAGAGACCTGATCAAGTTTTTGAGTAGAACACCTGACTGCAGCTCCATGCGCTCTGCTCACAGGTATTGCATTTCTGTCGACTGGGCACTGAGAACCAGAGACAGGCTGTAGGTACCACCTTCCAGGGTGGACACAGAAAGGGAGGGCGGGCACTGTGATGACCAGAGGGCTGAAGCAGCTCTCCCATGAAGAAAGACTGAAGGAACAGAGCTTGTTTAGCTTGGAGAAGGATCCAGGGAGACTTTATTGTGGCTTTCCAGTACTCGAAGGGAGCGTACAAACAGGAGGGAGAATGGCTGTTTATGGGGTGGATAGTGACAGGACAAGGAGTGGTTTTCAACTGACACAGGGGAGGTTTAGCTTGGATCTGAGGAGGAAGTTTGTCACACAGCGGGAGGTGAGGCACTGGAACAGGCTGCCCAAGCAGGCTGTGGATGCCCCATCCCTGGAGGCATTCAAGGCCAGGCTGGACGTGGCTCTGGGCAGCCTGGTCTGCTGGTTGGCGACCCTGCACACAGCAGGGGGTTGAAAGCAGATGATCACTGTGGGCCTTTCCAACCCAGGCCATTCTATGATTCTTTAGCAAGAGATGGCTTGAGAAGGTGGATGCTAGTGCAGACATGGGGGCAGACCCCCCTTGTGGGACAGTGGGAACCAGCAGCTCCAAAAACAGGAATGGAGTGCGACTGGAGGGGCACTGCTGGACGAGGGCAGCACCCTGGTGATACAGGACATGCTTTAGGTGGAAAGACTTCACCAGCACGGGCGGCCTTGAGAGAGCTGTGCCCAGTCTCGGGTGCCCAGCACATGGGAGTGTCGGAGGTACGGGAGAGCCCACAGAGGAGCACGGGGCTGAGCAAAGGGAGGCATGGCAGAAGAACACAGGGGACCCTGCTGACCCGGGCCTCCCTGTGGGCACGCCAGCTGCTATCCCTAGGGCAGCTGCGAGCACATGGGCCTCTGTGGGCCCACAGCCACAGCCAGGCCTTTGTGATGGCTGGGCGGCACCACGCCCAGAGGCCATTGTGATGTGGACGGGTAACCGCAGCTCCTGGCAGGGCCAGAGCCCTCGGGTGCTCACTCCGAGGAGAGCAGCTCTGTCAGGAGGCAGCAGCTCGACTTGGTGCTTTTCTCTGGTCTCCGGACATGGAGATGCTGAAGGAAGAGGAGCCTAAGGCTCACTCTCAGCCCAACCAAGGGCTGCCGAGCGGACAGGAGCAAGATGAGGTGAGGCTCAGGGAGTGAGGGAGAGACCAGCAGCGTGACGGGATGGTGTGGAGAGCAGCAGGAGGAGGGACGTGGTGCTGGGGAGAGCCGGCCAGCTGGCCCTGAGCACCTTACAGCCTGAGCACTGCGCTTCCTGACACCTGGGAGCATCTCCACACAGAGCCAACGATGCCTGGGAAGGCCAAGGCCCACGTGGCCCTGGAAGCTTGGAGACGAGGGGCAGAGAGCAGCTCGGCCACGCTCAGCTCTGCCATCCATGGGGCACGCAAAGCCCAGGCCCAGGCCCAGTGGGCCCAGTGGGCCCGGTGGCACAGCGGGTGCTGTCGGGCCAGTGTGGGCGCTCAATCCCTCTCCTTCTGTTCCCCGCAGGTGATCCGCAGGCCACCTCACACAATGACAGCGGGCAGCCAGAGCCCAGAATCCTCCCTCCGAGAGGACAGGCTGCCGCCGCTGCCGGCTCCACACGGCAGCCACCAGGCACAGGTAGGGGAGACCCAGGGAGACCAGGTGGAGCGGCTGTCGCAGCCCTGCCAGCCGCTGACAAGCAGGCAGCTGGCAAACAGCAGGACTTGCTAGAGGAAACAGCCAGGCCGTCTCCATGTCAGACTGAGCCAGGAGAGAGAGGAGCTGCTCTCTTCCCAGACAGCTCTGGGATGGCAGCGGCCCATGCAGCTGCGCCACCAGGACAGGTTGCACGAGCAGTTGCAGCAGGGCCATGGAAGGCAACACACGGAAGAGCCCAAAGTAACTCGGCCTTTCTCCTTGCCTTCTCTTGCAGGCAAACGATGCGGAAGGCAATGAGACGCTGTCCCGCGGAAGCGTCTTGCAGGGAGACACGGCCAGCGTGCCCACCTTGCCACCTCCGCCAGAGCAGGCAGTGGCTCAGGCAGCCGCAGCACAGCACGTGCCCGCAGCTGAGGCACCAACATCTGCCAGCGGCACCCGCGAGCTGCCTGATCTGCCAGCAGCAGCCTCTGTCTCTAGCTGCAGCGGAAGGGAAAAGGTCATCGTGCCTGAAGCCCCTGGCCATCAGGAGCTTTGCGCAACTGCTCTGGACAGCCTCGGCAAACAGGACGAAGCAGCAGGATCGGGCAAACAGAAAACTGCTCCACCGAGCCCAGCCGTCCCTGGCGCAGCAGTGGAGAACACTGTGCAATCCCCCGTGCCACAAGTCCCAACAGAAACTGTGGCTGTACGCATCACACAGCAGGACCTGACACAAGCTCAGCAAGCAGCGGGAGCAGCAAAAGCAGACGAGGCCCAGAAGGCCGCACACAGATTTGGGCCTGATCCCGAAGAGCTTACAGCAGCAATGGCTGCCCACAGAGAAGCTGCACGCACTTTCTCACGCTGGGGCTACAAGTCAGGGCACCATGGAGGGCCAAGGGCCTATCGGTACCCAGCCGCCATGAAGCCGTGCATCCGGTGCCAAGAGATGGGCGCTAGGCTGTGGCTGCACCATGAGACTCGAAAGCCATGTCGAAAGATCCTGTCAGAGGACACACAGCTTCTGACAAAGATGGCTAAAAGTTGTGCGGCCTGTACCGGGCACAGCCTAGACGAATACTGGGAAATAACAAGGCAGGCGAGGAACACCAGGAAGCAGAGAGCAAGGCAGAAACTCCCGTGTGTTCCAGAGCACGAGCCACGGGGCACGGCAAAGGAGGATGAGCTGGAAGAAGCTGATGATGAAGAGCCAAAGATCATAAGCCACTGGGTCAACCCCAGGATCGCAGCCTTCATCCGGGACCCGCAGGCTTCTCCTCAGCAAACGCCCGGCTCTTCCAGCATCACAGACACAGAGGTTTCGGGAGAGTCAGATGGCCAGGCACAGAGCACGGCTCTTCCTGCCTCAAGGCACGCAGATGCCAAGGCTGGAGGTGATACGCACGATGGCCACGGGATGCCAGCATCCACACCAACAGCGGAAGAGGAGAACGCTCCAGCTTCATCTCTCCTGAGCGAACAGAGCCCAGCGGCGAGGGATGAGAGCCAGAGGCCGTGTCTGCATGAGCCAACAGCCTGTGCCATTCCTCTGCAGGACACAGCCCAGGCCATGGTGAGTCCAGGCGTCGGGAAGTGCTGGAGGAGACAGGTGGGCCGACCCCCCGTCAGACTGAGCCGCACCGAGCGTGGTCAGCTGTCGGGGCACGGCGGGGGCTGCTGCAGGGAGCCCCCAGGCCCAGCAGGTGCCACATGAGGAGCTGCTCTCTTCCCAGCCAGCTCTGTGGAGCAGGGTGGCAGCGGCCCATGCGGCTGCGCCACCAGGACAGGTTGCAGGAGCATTTGCAGCAGAGCCATGGAGGGCAACACAGGGAAATGTCCCAACTCACTTCTTTCTTCTTGCCTTCTCTTGCAGGCGAACAAGCTGGAAGAGAATGAGACACTGCCCGGCAATGGGGTCCCGCAGGGAGACACGGCCAGCGTGCCCACCTTGCCACCAGAGCAGGCAGTGGCTCAGGCAGCCGCAGCACAGCACGTGCCCGCAGCTGAGGCACCAACATCTGCCAGCGGCACCCGCGAGCTGCCTGATCTGCCAGCAGCAGCCTCTGTCTCTAGCGGCAGAGGAACGGAAGAGGTCTTTGTGCCTGAAGCCCCTGGCCAACAAGAATCTCTCCCGTCTTCTGGCGCGAGTCGCGGTGAGCGCCGGCCACGGCGCAATCTGCTCAGGAGGGCGCTTGGGCGGCTGCTCAGGGTTTGCTGCTGCTGCTGCATCACAAGGCAGGAAGAGTAGCGCTGTCGGGCCACCAGTACCAGGCGGCTTCTCAGAGCTGATCTCGCCCAGGCATGCCGAGACTGCGACGCTGGCTCCAAGATGAGACCAAGACCTTGGCCTGAGACAACAGCCCATCTTGCTAGAGGACACAATCCTCTCCACCCATGGCAGGTCGATTTAACTGGGCCCCTCCCTCCGCCTGAGGGGGTGAGATATGCCCTCA